CCACCGTCGGAGCACTTGGCACACCGGCTACTGTCTGTTGGTGCCACCACTGGAGCCTAGGAGGAGGGTTGCCGCCCCACCTCTCCAAACTGTGAGAGCCGTCGAGAGGGATCCCGCGCGCTCGTCACCGTCTCTAATCCGAACCAATCCCGAGACTAAGCCACCAGATCACCGATGCAGATTCGCCTTGGACAGGGGCATCACCACGCTATGTCGCCGCGGGCAGCCCGAGCTTCACCTGCCGCCCGGGATCCAGGCCGAACGTCGTCGCCGCCACCGGCCACGTTCCGCCACCGCCAGATCGGCGAGCCGCCGTGACCACGCGAACGCGCCCAACGGCCCGCACCACCCGGACTCCCATGTCGCCAGCAACTCCGCCGCCTCCGCCCACCACCACGCCGTCGCCGGAGGCGAGTTGCCACGCCGCTGCGACCCAGATCTAGGAGAAGGGACTGACTCACAGCTCGCGCCGCCTCGATGGCACACTGCATGCGCTTCTGCTCGTGCTCGTGGCCGCCTCCGCCTTTGTCAGCGCTGCCGCGGCCCGAGGGGACATGCTGGCCGCCCGGCACGAGCGGTGGATGGCCAAGTTCGGGCGCGAGTACACGGACGCTGCCGAGAAATTACGCCGGCAGGAGGTGTTCGCGGCCAACACGCGGCACGTGGACGCTGTCGATCGGGCGGGCAACCGGACATAGACGCTCGGGCTCAATCAGTTCTCCGACCTCACCAGCACCTCGGGTAGCAGCGACGGAGGGGCTGGTAAAGATCGCCACTGGCAACCTCATCTCCATGTCAGAGCAGCAGGTGCTCGACTGCACGGCCGGTGCCAACTCCTGCAACGGCGGCGACATCAACGCCGCCCTAAGCTACGTCGCCTCGAGCGGCGGCCTTCAGCCAGAGGCAGCCTACGCGTATACCGGCCAGCAGGGCGCGTGCCGCGGCAGCGGCGTCAGCCCAAATTCGGCAGCCTCCGTCAGCGCCCCCCGAATGGTGGAACTTCACGGCGACGAGGGCACCTTGCAGGAGCTCGCGGCCAGACAGCCGGTGGCCGTGCCCGTGGAGGCTGACAGTGACTTCCAGCACTATATGAGGGGCGTGTACACCGGCAGCTCGTCGTATGGACAGAACCTGAACCACGGCGTGACGGTGGTGGGCTACGGGACTGACAGCGGCGGGCAGGCGTACTGGATGGTGAAGAACCAGTGGGGAACGGGGTGGGGCGAGGGGGGCTACATGCGCCTCACGCGCGGGAACGGCGGCAACTGTGGCATGGCCACCTACGCCTACTACCCGACCATGGACAGCTCTTGAACAACACTACTATTACATCAGTCAAGTCCATGCATCATCGAGTATAGTTTATCAGCACCATGCAGCATATACGGATTTACTTTTCTGAATAAAGCATGGATCCTTGTAAAAAAAAGATCCATTTGCCTATGTAATACCACAAACTTGTAAGCTTGTATATGAAATTAAACATTTGTACTACATCAGTCCATCCAGCATCGAGTATTGGTTTATCAGCTAGCAACACTACGGTGTATATGTGGTACGCGTTGGAATTTTGCTAGTAGGCCTTTGGCCCAAACCTCAACTAAAATTTTGAAATTCTCTTGGCCCATTCATGCACACCTATAAGTGAAGTGAGTGAGATTAAAGTTCAGTCCCACCACGAAAGTTGAATGAGACTTGCACTTCTTTATGACGTGCGCTCTTCTACCACTTGTATGAACATGAAAAGAAGAGACATACACGTGCGCTCCTCCTCCTCGTTCACCTCGCCATGCCACGCCTCGGCACGACGCGCCGCGCTGCGGGTTACTGGATTGAGCCGAGCTGAGGACAGAGCTATGCACGTTGTCTATATTTTTGCTGCTCGGGAAAAATTAATGAGTTATTAATTAATAATTAACGGACAGGTTAATTATTGAACCATTTTTCCAATTCTTTTGGATCGCGACCTCGGACGTGGGGTTTACTCTCATGACCTACCCGCACTATATAGTCAGGCAGACGTCTACCCTAGCCGTGCCGTATCATATGGTTTCACACCACCGTTTCAGATCATTGCGCCACCACGCAAGTCTTCTCCATTCTTCCTTTTGGCGTGCACCGCGAGAAGGGACAACAGGCCTCCGAAACCCCGCCTCTCGTAATCCTGTACGGGAGAGGGGCGGTCAGGTTTTTAGGGAGCGCACTCGCGCGACTGCTGGCAACGACGACTTCTTCCCCGACCTCGGCAACCTTATCCTCAACGACATGGGCGACAACATCAACGTCGGCCCCACTGCACCGTATGTGATTCTATCCTTCTTGTTCGAGATTGTGGTAAAAATCATGTTTGTAGTATGTGTCCTAGATGTGATCTGTTCATCTACTATGCTAGTTCCCATGATTAGTTTAATCTCTGCTTGTGATGTCATGATTTATCATCTGTTTATTCGGATTAAAACTCATAGTAATTTGCTCATATATTCAACATGGATTTCGAATCTTTTTGGAAAAGAAATGGATTTTGAATAGTGAACATTGAACGCATGCATGTATCCTCATACGAACGATGCATTCGCCTACGTAATAGTATGAACTTGAAAGATTCTATATGAAAATAGAATTTCCTGATTCAATGGAACACACGTTCTTAATGTTCTTCCCATGTCCCGCCTTTTCGTCTTTTTTTCATGCACGTTCCTCTTCCTCTCACGACCCGACACAAATCTTCATTATCTATATTCTTGTCCTTTTACTTCATTACAGGAGCCATACTTTTTATCGGGAACAGTAGGATATGCTACCTCGAAACATTATATCAGAAGAACTGCCCAAAAAATGGCAAGAAAAAAGAACTCAAAAGATAGAAAGAAAATATTTTATGTCGGTCTTTGGATATGTGGATAGACAAGTAAACCAAGATCTAATTTGGACAACACACTGCAAGGGAGAGCCATCCAAAACATTAACGTATGCGTCATGGGCGATCGTTCACTCCATCCACGTCGGACTACTAGGCAACAAACAGAACAGTCGAAGGGGTTCGCTCAGCCTTTAGCCTCCCTCATCGCCCGCTTCCTCTCCCTCTCCCTCTCCCTCGTCTGTAGCCGCCGCCACCATCTGCGGCCTCCCCTGCAGCTGGCGCCCCCACCCCTTCTCTCCTTCCCTCACCATCTCCCCACCACCGACAAGCTCCTCCCCTCTTCCTCGCCTAGATCGATCACCAGGGCCGGATCCTGCCGCCATTCGTCCATCTCGCCCAGCGCCCCGTGAGAGCTCGGGCAGCCACCGATGCCGTGCACCCTCCCGTTCGCGCGGCGCCGCCGCTGGTATGGAGGCCTGGGCTCGGGCAGCCACCGCGGTGTCGCGTGCGCCGTCGGGGGCTCTAGGGACCACACAGCGGGGGACTGGCGTGCCGTCCGTTCGTGGGTTCCAGGGACGCCAAGCCGTACATCTGAGCCACCGTCTCCACTTCCTCCTTCCTTCCGATCGGTTCGTCTCCTCCACCCTCCCTTGCCCCCTCCCCTCTCGGCTCGTCGATCCGGGTTGGGCGCTTGCGGCGACGGCGGAGGAGCCACTCTTGCCAGCTGCAGCGACTACTCCAAGTGGAGGTGGAGCGAAGCAACAGGTTTACGACAGGCCTGGCCCAGGACAGCGACTTTAGGGGTGCCATGCCCTGCATATTTCATCGGGGTAAATTGTGCTAGCTTTCAGATTATTCATTTTTGTTTTACTCTATCAAAGATCTGCTCAGATTAGTTAACCAAGCTATCTAATGATGGTGCAGATTTGGTCCTGATTTGAGAATGTATATGTTGAAAATGGAGGAAATGAGATCTTAGGTAGTCAGGTGTGTGCTTGCAGTTGCAGTAACACAAAGAAGATGATGGCAAATAGTTTGAGTCTGGAGATCATTTGTGTCCCTCTTCTCTGGTGCTTGTAGAATTGTAGAAACAACGATTAATGTGATGTATGTGAGGGGTCATTAAAGTGACTTACCTGGTGAGAAGATGTGTGTGGCATTGATTAGAAAAACAGTACATTTTCGTCTGATATTACTGTCTTCCTTCAGGAGAAGATGTGTTCACTGCTGAAACTGCATACAAGGGTGCTTCCTTCTTCCAGGATATCGACGAAGCCTGGCAACTATAGATTTTCCTCTATGTGATTCCGAGGGCTCCATGGAGGATCAACTTCGGTTCAGAGCCAGGTTTTGGGCATACCGCAGCACAAACAGAGGCATATCTCAGTCAATGTTACTCCAGTTGATGATGTTATGAAGCTTCCTTCAGTAACTGGTATGACCTGACGCCGTCGTTGTTTTGTGTTCAGAGAAGATGAGCTATTGTATTCCTCCTTTTTATAGTTGTTGTAGGTTTTGCTGGATCTAAATCCATAGACAAAGCACTGATTGTTTGCTCTCTTGGAGCTATTATAATTTGCACAACTATTTTTTAAGATTCATTTTGCTTACATTCATTTAGGGAAGCCCCTGCAAAAGTCAATATTCATTTGAGTGGTAACGAGTGCACATGATTTTGTTTACATTCATTTTTAGTAAAGAGCTCCAGTATGTCAGGCTAGCTTGGTGGCTTCCATATGAAATGATGAAAATTGATAATTGAAACCGAGATATGCAAAACCTACTAGCTTAGGGGTTAGGATTGTTAACTCGTTTTAGTTAACATGCATGTGTATAACCTTGCGGTTGTTCAGGCAAGTGGGTGCTACCTCTTCCTCTCTTTCCCACTCCTCCCACTTCATTGCTCGAGCCTTCAACTCTCTTTCTCCTACTTCTGCTTCATTGCTTGAGCCTTCAATTAATTCCGAACACTGCACCAACTAAATTGTATGAGTTCTTATTTATTTATTTTGTATTCTTCGTTGCATTTCTCTCTCCTTGTGTCTTAGCGTGAGCTTGTTTTCTTCTTGATCACTTGTACTTTGGTGCCTGCCATGGTTTTCATATTATGATTTCATTCATTTCTTGGTTGGTTTCAAGAATGAGAGAGATGGAGGCACTGGAGAAGAAAGGACATAGATCCTTGGCCAAACCAGTGAAGCCCCCCTACAATACCCCATCAAGACACAAGCATTCCGAGAGGTTGGAAACATTATCTTTTTCTCATGTTGATTGATGCTGATAAATGCGTATAAAAATGTATTTATGCTTTGAGTAATGGCAGCGATTTAGAGGAGAAAAATGCAAGGATGCATAGCCTTCTTCGCAGAAAGCGTCTAATCACCCAAAGCCGGTAAGTTTCCCATTTCATTAACCTTTTTCTTGTGCTTCATATACCACTGTTTCTTTGTAGATTTGAGATTTTTTTTATTTTGTTTATGTGGTGTCTTCCAGAATGGTAGAAACTCAAACTCTCGTCTGCAGAACGAAACCAACAAGGGAATCCATCCCAAGAGTGACACGCAAGACACCCTGAGAAAAGAGACAGGAACCATTTTTTTTCTATTCTTACTAGCTCACATGCAGAAGAAATCAGAGACTGCATCTTGAAAGAATTGTTACAACATTTTCGTTTCTGGATGCACCAAGCATTTTGGTCTAATGGGATGACGATGATCTGATGTAGATTGTGCAGCTGGAGAGGCACCTTGACCAACAGCAAACGGTGCACGGTGCACTGGAGAAAGCGTTGGGTCCTAACTCTGCTCCAGTTACTCTATCCAATGAGAGCCCAGTCCTCAAGCTGACACTTGTTTTTACCAGGACATGTATAGTATAGTATGTTTATTCTTTGGTAGCCAACTAACCAACTGACAAGGGAGGTTGCCACACTGGAGCTGGAGATCAAGCACATGGAGCAGTACCTCATAACATTGTACATGAAAGCATTTGAGGAAGCACCCACAGTGAGCTCACAGTCTGTGCCGATCGAGGAAACGCCCAAGGCAAAGGCGACCATCGAAAGAGGTAGTGATGCAATGCTCCATTACAGCTGCCTCCCCATAGCAATAGGAGGAATGGCACCATGGAGGATTCCTCTCCGTCCACATGCCCAGTGAAGGGTCGATGGTCATGAATCAAAGTTAACTTCCTCTCTACTTATCATTTAACCGCGACAAAGAATTTGAGTCGGCACTAATACAACTGTCTGATGCTTTGCAAAGTAGGCATTGAGAATATGAAAGAGAACTTGCAATTCCATTGGTCAGTGTGCAATGCCAAGGAACACATTTACATTTTGTAGGTATGTTCTGGTTCATACTTTCAAAATAAGTGTCATGGTGCCCACATATTCAGCTCATAATTGTCATTACTTTCCACTTCGTTTATACATATGTCTGTTTGAGCAATGCATTAGAATTAATCACAAATTAATTTTCTTAAGATTTCATTTTCCGTTGCTTGTTTGGTATTAAGATGATGACTGACATATGCAGATAACAAGTTGTCAGTAGCAGCGACATCAACGGATGGAAGGTACACCTGTTGTAGTGGACTTAGTCATCTCATCGACATGCTCACCTGCGACAGTACACCTGCTGCAGCTCTGGCGAGACACTGGACCTCATGGCGGCGTTCATGGTGATGTGCCTTGTCTGTACCTCAACTGCATGTATGTGCGATGGAGGGAGGGATGGTGTGCACCGGATGGGACCTGGCACGGCATGCGGGCCGATGAGGAAGAGGACCAGCGGAGGGGGCTTGACAAGGTGTCACTGGCAGCCATGCCAGTGACCAGATTCAAGGTAGGGCGCGTGGCGGCAGCAACAAGGTTGGGGAGGATTGCGCGATGTACATGTGCATCATGGACGATGGATTTGGCATGGCGGCCGGGTCGACGAGGAAGAGGACCAGTAGAGGGATGCTCGACAAGGCGACGCTGGCACCAATGCCGGTGTTCATATTCAAGGCAGGGGCAAGGCGGAGGCGTGCGATGGCGCAAAGGTTGGTAGCTGCTGCATACGTGTTGCTTTATGATCTTGCCTTCTTGGAAGCGTGGGTGTTGCTTCAATTGGAACCAATATTTTTTGCCTTGACTTTTAGATTGTAATACTACTTGACTTTTGCATCAGTGATATTTGAAGTTATTCAAATGAATTTGTAGTTAAGTTCGTATAGTTGATGATATATGGCACGTGTATGTTCTAACAAGAGCTGAACAAACTAGCTGAAGGGGCGCTTTCCCATCTGGCACC